AAAAAAAAAAAATGTGCGCGACAAATGCCAGCTACCTGTGAACCTAGGAGAAAACATAAGGGTGTTTGTTGTACTAAAGGAGTCTTTACAAGAGACCAAGCTCTGTCAGGTTGAAGATGAGGATGAGGACAAGGCTTAAATTGGATGCAAAAGGAAATTTTGATTTAGGTTTGAATTTTTATTCCTGAAAACAAGAAGGCTATAGGATCAACCTGTGACTATGTCAAGATGCAAGGATGGGAAATCCAATAGAGTAGGGGCGTCTAAGCTTTTGACTTCTCTGGGTGCATTGGAAAAAGAATTGTCCTGTGCCACACATTAAATACACAACACTAATGAAAGCTGGTGAGCAAAAAAAACAAAACCAAAAAAGGTTCGCGCATAGTTTTTGTGATATCTACCATCATAGATAAGCAAAAAAATCCTCACATGATAACCCTAATTATACAGCCATGAAGAGTCTTTTGAAATTGTCAAGCAAGTCCTAAGTTTGAGATCACTAATATTTAAAATGTGTATATGCAATTAATAAAACATCCTTGGTTTTCTAAAATTCTTTTTTTAATTTTTTTTGAGACAGAGCCTCAAGCTATCCCCCTGGGTAGAGTGCTGTAGCATCACAGCTCACAGCAACCTCCAACTCCTGGGCTCAAGAGAGTCTCCTGCCTCAGCCTCACAAGTAGCTGAGACCACAGGTGCCCGCTACAACACCAGGCTATTTTTTGGTTGCAGCCGTCATTGTTGTTTGGCGGGTCTGGGCTGGATTTGAACCCTCCACCTTAGGTGTATGTGGCTGGCACCTTAGCCACTTGAGCCACAGGCACCCAGCCTAAAATTCTTTTTTATTATAAAAGTTAAAGAAAAGTGGGCAACATAAAACTAATGGTATATTTGACATTGTATTTGACAAAGTAATGCATCATTATCTGGTTTGATGGAAGTAGTTGCAATTCTCAGTGAGCTCCCAAGGTGCTTATTTTAGTTCTAATTTTACCCTCCTTTGTTTTCTTGAGACAGAGTCTCAGTCTGTTGCCCCAGGTTAGAATGCCATGGTGTTAGCCTTCTTTAAACTCCTGAGTTCAAGAGATCCTCCTGTCTCAGCTTCCTAAGTAGCTAGGCCTACAGGGTAGGGGTGGGAGGAGTGGGTGCGTGTGTGTCTTGCTCTTGCTCAAGCCAGTCTCCAACTCCTGAGCTCAAGTGATCCTCTTACCTTGGCCTCCTGGAGTACTAGGATTACAGGGGTGATCCACTGAGCCCAACCTAAGGTGCACTTTTTGTGTTATATGATTCTGTGGGTTTTCTCCCACTTTTTAAATTGTGGTAAAATATACATAACATAAAATTTACCATTTTAGCTGTTTTAAATATGTACTTCAGTGGGTAGCACATACTCCTGTGTCTGACTCTGTCACTTAACATTCTTTTTTATGAGACTCATCCCCAGTATTAGGTATAGTTGTAGTTCATTGTCATGGCTGTGTAGTGTCCCATTATAATATGAATGCTCAACACCTTATTCATCCATTCAACTGTTGATTGACCTTGCCTTGTTTTCTGTGTTGGGCTATGACAGCCCTGTTACCAGGAACATTCTTGTACATGCTTTTGAATACATGTCTGCTGTGGCCTGGAATTGCTGGGTCACAGGATAGGCGAAGGTCCAACTTTAGTTCTTTTTTTTTTTTTTTTGAGACAGAGCCTCAAGCTGTCTCCCTGGGTAGAGTGCCGTGGCATTACTGCTCACAGCAACCTCCAACTCCTGGGCTCAAGCGAGTCTCCTGCCTCAGCCTCCCAAGTAGCTGGGACCACAGGCGCCCACCACAACGCCCGGCTATTTTTTGGTTGCAGCCGTCATTGTTGTTTTGGCAGGTCTGGGCTGGGGATTCGAACCCTCCACCTTAGGTGTACGTGGCTGGCGTCTTAGCCGGTTGAGCTATAGGCGCCGAGCCCCAACTTTAGTTCTAATTTGAGAAACTAAACAATCTTGTGAAGCAATTGAACCAATTTGTACTCCCACTAGCTGTGTATAAAGGCTCTGATTGCTTCCCTTCCTCACCACCACTGGATATTTCTTTTCATTTATTTCTTTTTCATTTAATCCACTCTACAGACATGGTGACGCCTTAGTTTTTAAAAGTTCTTGGCTGTTTCCCATAGATTTTAGGCTAGAAACTAAACTCCTTGGCGTAGTAGTCAAAAGCTTCAACAGCAGCTCTTGTTCACCTCCCTGGCTCCGTGGGCCACCACGTCTCCTCAACCCCCACCTCACTATTATCTTTCTCCATAGGCTGATCCTTTTCCCACTCCCCACCCTGTGGGGCCGGTTCCTGCTCATGACTTTATATGGCTGTTCAGCTGTCACCATGCTAGCCCCCTGCACTGAATTCCCACAGCCCTCATACTAACTACCCCCCAATAATACACTGGGTCCCCTCTGCATCAGGAGCTCCCTGAAGGTCAAGGCAGCCTCTGCTTTTCTTCAAATCTCTCTTCTCCAGGATATACACTGGCACAGAGCACATACAGTCAGTCTTCCAGGTCTGGTTTCCACACCAGTGGATTCAACCAACAGCAGATCAAATGTATTCAAACAGAGAAATGAATAGTTGTGTCTGTATTGACACATTATTTCCTAAAGAATATAGAATAACAACTATTTACATGGCATTTACATTGTAGTAGCTATCACAAGCCATTTAGAGATGATTTACAGTATACAGGAGGGTGTACATAAGTGATACACAGGTACTACATCATTTTATATAAGAGACTTGAGCTGTGGATTTGGGTATTCATGCGGGTTCCTGGAACCAATCTCTTATGGATACCAAGGAATGACTGTACTCAGAGAAATATTTGTGGAATCATTTTGTGTTCACAAATAAGAATGCTATCCTGCACAAGAGCTTTGTAAAGACTCTGCTTGGGGCATTTCCTGCACTGACTTTATGAAAATGGCAAGTAATAAAACAAATAGTTAAAATTCAGTAAGCACCTGCTATGCCCCAAGTTCTGTGCTGCATGATTAACATGGGCCATTTCTATTCTAGCTTCATAGCAACCCTGTGAGGTGAACACTATTATCAGCTTCATTTTATGGCTGATGAAATGGAGACCTGAAGAAGTTCAGTAGTCTATCCAGAGCCAAATGTAGGGAAAGAGCAGCCCAGTGGGCATGGG